CACGCACACAGGGTTCCGGTGACGTCTGTCCCCTGTGCGTCCTGTCGCACCACACAGGCCACTCAGCTGCCAGCCAAGGAATCCCACAGCTTGGTCAGAAGTGGCTCAGGCCCCTGGCCCTCCCGGGGAAGCAGGTCAGAGGGGCGCTGGCGGTGGACACATTCTGGATGACCGTGACAGAGGCCCTGGGTGCCCGGGCTGGTGGGCGCCGGGTCTGGTGGTGCTCCTCACTGAAATGCCTGGGACAAGAAACACTTCCAGCTTCTGATTTCAAAATATTTGTATCCATCATGAGATTCCTTGGCAAGGAACTGAGTGTGAACAGTGAATTCATTTGCGCGTCACAGCCTGATACACTTGGTCTGAAGGCCTACTGGGGCTTGAACTCAGGGCCTGGGCGCTGTCCCTTAGCCTTCACACTCCGTGTGGTTGGGTCATACCCCCTCTTCTGGCATTTTGGTTGATAAGTGGAGATAAGATTTTCACAAATTTTCCAGCCCCACTGGCTTTTGAACTGCAGTCCTCAGATCTCAGTATGCTGAGGAGCTGGGATTACAGATGTGAGCCACTGTGCCTGGCTCAGACAGTATTTTTGGTGTACCTCTGCTCTGACTGAATCTCATCGGGTCATCTGAGGGTATGTGTGGAGTTCCCTACGTGTGTCCTCATGTAGATACCGGGGTCATCCTGGGCCCGTACTTCAGTTTTCTTTTCTCCTTCCTCTTTTCTTCTCTTTACCTCCTTCCTTCCTTCCTTTCCTTTCTGTACTGGAGCTTGAACTCAGGGCTTCGTGATCTCCTGTAGCTCTTTCCCTTCAAGGCTGATACTCTACCAGTTGGTCCACAGCCTTGCTTCCGGTTTGGGGATGATTAATCAGAGAGAAGAGTCTCTTGGATTTGTCTGCCCAGGATGGCTCTGAACTGTGATCCTCAGATCTCAGCCTCTTGAGCAGCTAGAATTACAGGTGTGAGCTACTGGTGCCTGGCCATGGTTCAGTTTTCTAAAGTGATAACTGGTGCAATAAGCGGTCCTGCCTTGCGGCTGTGGTCAGTTGGAGAGGGTTAGAAATACATGGTGTGTAACGTGATGCTGGGTAACCTAGCCATGATGCATTCACCTAGGTATTGGTGAAGATTCGCCGTCTGTGGGCCTTGAAATGTGTGGGCTCCCATTGGGCCTGGTGAGCAGTGCTGAGTGCTGAGCTGCAGGCAGCACTGAGTGCTGAGCTGAGGGCCATGCTGAGTGCTGAGTGCTGAGCTGTGGGCCGTGCTGAGTGCTGAGCTGGTGTGCTGAGCTGTGGGCAGTGCTGAGTGCTGAGCTGTGGGCAGTGCTGAGTGCTGAGCTGAGGGCCATGCTGAGTGCTGAGTGCTGAGCTGTGGGCAGTGCTGAGTGCTGAGTGCTGAGCTGTGGGCCTTGCTGAGTGCTGAGCTGGTGTGCTGAGCTGTGGGCCATGCTGAGTGCTGAGTGCTGAGCTGTGGGCAGTGCTGAGTGCTGAGCTGCGGGCAGTGCTGAGTGCTGAGCTGTGGGCAGTGCTGAGTGCTGAGCTGTGGGCAGTGCTGAGTGCTGAGCTGGTGGGCAGTGCTGAGTGCTGAGTGCTGAGCTGTGGGCCATGCTGAGTGCTGAGTTGTGGGCAGTGCTGAGCTGTGGGCAGTGCTGAGTGCTGAGCTGGTGGGCAGTGCTGAGTGCTGAGCTGCGGGCAGTGCTGAGTGTTAAGCTGAGGGCCATGCTGAGTGCTGAGTGCTGAGCTGTGGGCAGTGCTGAGTGCTGAGTGCTGAGCTGTGGGCCATGCTGAGTGCTGAGTGCTGAGCTGTGGGCAGTGCTGAGTGCTGAGCTGTGGGCAGTGCTGAGTGCTGAGCTGGTGGGCAGTGCTGAGTGCTGAGCTGGTGGGCAGTGCTGAGTGCTGAGCTGTGGACAGTGGTGAGTGCTGAGCTATGGGCAGTGCTGAGTGCTGAGCTGTGGGCAGTGCTGAGTGCTGAGCTGTGGGTCATGCTGAGTGCTGAGTGCTGAGCTGTGGGCCTTGCTGAGTGCTGAGCTGGTGTGCTGAGCTGTGGGCAGTGCTGAGTGCTGAGCTGGTGGGCAGTGCTGAGTGCTGAGCTGCGGGCAGTGCTGAGTGCTGAGCTGTGGGCCTTGCTGAGTGCTGAGCTGTGGGCCTTGCTGAGTGCTGAGCTGGTATGCTGAGCTGTGGGCAGTGCTGAGTGCTGAGCTGGTGGGCAGTGCTGAGCTGGTGGGCAGTGCTGAGTGCTGAGCTGCGGGCAGTGCTGAGTGCTGAGTGCTGAGCTGCAGGCAGTGCTGAGTGCTGAGCTGTGGGCAGTGCTGAGTGCTGAGTGCTGAGCTGCGGGCAGTGCTGAGTGCTGAGTGCTGAGCTGTGGGCAGTGCTGAGTGGCAGGCAGAGGAAAGGGGCCTCTGCAGGCCGGTCTGCTTCACTGTGTGTTTTGTGCTCCCCTGGATTTTCTCTAGCAGCTTCCAGCAGCTTCGTCAATGGTGAAAGAATGCACCAATCTGAAACCCAGGGTCTGAAGTCTGCGTCGTCCGATGCCGCCCCATTGCCAGCCTGAGTGGCCCACGGCCCGTGCTGGGGACTCTTCACGGGCCACAGAGCTGGGGGAGCTTTGATGCTGTCAGCCGTGCCCTGACAGAGAGCCCCGCCCCCCTTGCCGGGGGCAGTGCGCACCATCTTACCAGTTTGGTAAACACAAACCCTTGCTTAAGGCTGCCCCAGCCTGGGACGCGATGGACACCAGACAGGGGAAGAGACCCACAGGCCACATAGACAGCAGCGGGAGGCCCGCCCGTGAGGGCCTGGAGGCCCATGTGATGGCCCGCGCCCCATGCACGCAACAGATGCTCAGGACAGTGTCAGCCACCGGCGTTGTTCTTTCCTTCCTTAGCTTACCTTCTCCTCCTTCCTCTCATTGAATTATTTTCTCTTAAACAGTGAGAAGAGAAGCAATGTGTCAGCCGTCGGTACGCCCGCACCACCCTGGATTCCTCATCGGTGAACTTGGCGGGCTCTGCCCGCCGCGCCTTCCTCACAGGCTACGGCGAGGATCCAGGCAACATTCTCTGCCCTGTGCCTCTCCTTCCTTCTCTCGTGAGGCAGGGTCTTCCTATATGGACGAGGCTGGCCTTGAACTCTCGATCCATCTGCTCAGCCTTCCAAGCACTGGATGACAGACGCATTGCCATACTTGGCTCAGATCAATTGTATGGACGAATGGCTCTTGTAAATGTATTGGACTATGCACCCCTGGGCCACTCCAAGAGTTGGCTCCAAGGGTTTGGCCCCCAGATAAATTAGTAAGAGCATCTCCCCAACAAGCAGGGAGACAGTCTCACACGAGTGGCTTTTGTCAGAGCAGCCATTTGTCACATTTAAAAGCCTAGAGGTAGTTTTGTGGTTTTTGTTATGTAGACCATAGACTTAAAGAAAAAGAACTCTTAGATTTGGAATTATATACCATATGCAATAGCAAAAATAGCTAAGAGTCCTAGGCCCCTCTCCCTGTCCCCAGGGGTGACATCTTAGATAACTGTGCAGTGGCAAAGCCAGGAAGCAGACATGGTGAACCATACTACCTACCTTCCTCAGTTCTTCACCACTGCAGTTTGTTTCTTGGAGGGTGTGTGTGTGTGTGTGTGTGTGTGTGTGTGTGTGTGTGTGTGTATGTGTGTGTGTGTGTGTGTGTGTGTGTGTGTGTGTGTGTACTGGGCCTTGAATTCAGGGCCTGGGCACTGTCCCTGAGCTTTTTTGCTCAATGCTAGAGTTCTACCACCTGGGCCACTGTCTTATTTCTGGCTTTTTTAGTGCTTAAGTGGAGATAGAGTCTCAGAGGCTGTCCTGCTTGTGGCTGGTTTTGAACCATGCTCCTCAGATCTCAGCCTCCTGAGTAGCTAGGATGACAAGTATGAGCCACTGTTCTTTTTTTTAAGAAGGGGAGAATTTTCACACGTGTCAGGGAGTCATTTTTTCAGTGCTGGCATGGGAGTCGAGTGTCTCACACCTGCACTTGTGTGATGAGCACTCTGCTGCGGAGCCACAGGGCCTGGCCTCATGGCGTCCTAAAACGTTAGCAAATTTCAGTCATTTAGCCACCCAGTCTTAGCTGCCACTCAGCTTAGTAAGGTTCTGACCAGCTTTTTTTTTTTTTTTTGGTTGGTCGTGGGGCCTGAACTGTGGGCCTGGGCGCTGTCCCTCAGCTCTTCAGCTCAAGGCAACTGCTCTACCACTTGAGCCACAGCGCCACTCAGGGCTTTTTCTGCTTATGTGGTGCTGAGGAATTGAACCCAGGGCCTCATGCATGCAAGGCAAGCGCTCTACCACTGAGCCACCTTCCCAGCCCAGTTCAGACCATCTTGATGTCTGACCGCGTCCACCCCCAACCGATGTCTGCACCCGTGGCCTGGCTCATCAGGAGTCCAGTTCTGTCAGGTTAGAGGCCCCGCCCCTGTTTCTCGTGTCCCTTCTTAAGAATTCCGTCCACGCTGCCCACTAACCCTGGCTGAGCCCCATCTCTCAATCCCAGCCGTTAGCCCTGCCACCTGTCAGGATGTCCCCGAGGGATGTCTTGCCACCATTCTGGGTGGCCATGTCCTTACCGGCTCCATGGGGGCAGGTGTGCAGGCTGCCGGCCTCTGACATGGCCCCAGGCTCCCACAGAGGCCCGGGTGTTCTGAGCAGAGGACCTCAGGCTCAGAGGAGAGCCCAGGGTCTACAGAGGGAGCTGCTTTGTCCCCTGCAGCCCCGGACCCCATTCAGAGTATTTCAGACCGGGGCAGGTAGCCGGGAGCAGGTGAGGCTGTGTGAGGCCATTTGTGGGCTCTCCTGCTGCACTTTTGACCTTCACACTCACTAGTTATGCAGGGCCACTCTGAGCTTAGGCCCTGGGACACTTCTGGGGCTCTGATGGCGGGAGGTGGGTTGGATTATCACGAGGTTAATCTTGTGACTTTTGTTTCCTTTGTCGCAAGGTTTGGCAAGATGTAGGAGAAGCAGCACTTACTTTTCTTATCCGTGGTGTTGTGCACGGTCACTCTGGGCACGCCGGGACCTGGGGTGGAGGGCAAAGAAACAAAATGGAGGCGGTCAGTGCTGAAAAGGGGAGAAGCAGCTTTCCTTAGGACCAGCGGAGTGCAGAGCACGTGGCTCAGGCACTGAGGCCCAAGTGGCCTTGGGGAGCTCCACCCCCACCCCACCCCCGGCCGCGCCCCAAGCCAGCCTCCAGGAACCCAGCTCACAGCTCGGATGCCGGTTCCATGGAGGACTTCTCCATCTGTGATGCTGCAAAGACGCTGTGCTCTGAACTGGGGCCCTGTGGTCCTGTCCTGGTGCGGGGTGCTATCCTCGGTCCCTGTGCTCTCTGGCCCAGGCAGCAGGGTTCGGGAAGGGCAGGCTGGCGGCCCTGGGCCTGCTGCTCTCTCTGACCCCAGACATTGGCACGTCTGATCTTTCTCTTCCCTTAATTCTCCGCTCACAAGCCTTCCATCACCCAATCTAAGTGGACACCCCACCCGTGACCACAGGATCACCTCAATGCTCACACAGGCTCCCTTCTTCCTGGAGAGCTAGCTCATTGTCACATGATGGAACAGCCCGGCACTCAGTGTCAGCACAGCTGGTCGGTGTCTCCCTCCTTACAGGAAGGACACAGGCTGCACCACCATCAAGAACTCAGCTTCTCCGTTGCTGTGATTCTTTCGATCTAGAAACGTTCTCCACATGAAGCTGAGTGGGTGGTAGCGGAGGGCACCGGGGAGCGAGGCCCGGGGCTGGAGAGTGTGTGGAGGGGGAGGAGGAGGTGGGGAGCAGGAGGCAGGCGGTGGCCAGAGCTGTCATGGGGACCACTGCCCGGCTCTGCCCCAGGTTGGAGACTCTGTGCCTGTGGGCACGTGTCAGGGCGGAGGGGCTCAGGCGCTGCAGGTCACGTAGGAGCTGGAAGTTTGCAGCCCTGAGGGCCCCTGACGCTCCCTCCTTCTCCTCCTCTTCCTCTGGTCCTCCTCCCCTTTCCCAATACTCCCTTCCTACTTTCATGTCTTTCCAAAAACCTATGAGAGAGAACACTCCATGCTTGTCTTTCTGAGTTTGGCTTACTTTGATTAACAGGATGATCTTCAGTTTTGTAATTTTCCTGCAAATGGCATGACGCTGTTCTTCTTTATAGCAAAATAACCCCCCACCACGTGCATACACTGCATAAACCCAGCCATGCGCATACACTGCATAAACCCTACACGTACACACACTGCGTAAACCCCGCCAGTGCATACACTGCATAAAACCCTGCCATGTGGGCTGGGAAGGTGGCTCAGTGGTAGAGTGCTTGCCTTGCATGCATGTGGCCCTGGGTTCAATTCCTCAGCACCCCATAAGCAGAAAAAGCCAGAAGTGGTGCTGTGGCTCTAGTGGTAGAGTGCTAGCCTTGAGCTGAAGAGCAGAGGGACAGGGCCCAGGCCCAGAATTCAGGCCCCACGAGTGTCTAAACAAACAAAAAACCCACCATGTGCATACATGCATTATCTCTCCCCGTTCACTGGCTCACGGGCATGCAGGTTTATTCAACAGCAAGGCCAGTGTCAAATAAATGTGGCATGCAGGTGTCCCTGTTGTGAGCAGACTGAGACCCCTTCAGGTGTATGCCCCAGTGATCACACGACAGGACCGGTGGCAGGTCTGTTCGTGGTTTCCTGAAGAGTCTCCATACTGGTTTCCACAGAGGCTGCACTAGTTTTCATTCCCACTGCTCCTCTTCCTTCCTACTGTGGTCTGTTCCCATGGACCCAGAGATGGGGCCCTCACATACCCAGAGATGGGGTCCCATGTACCAAGAGACAGGGTCCCCAGAAAGACTGCAGGATGCTGGGTTACATGAGAATCTCTGAGAAACACTATACATGTTCTTACCATTAGCATGCTCTCCTGGTACTTGGGACCTGGCATTTAGAGTTGTTGGTTGCCTACTTGAAATTCAGTGATACCTGGGCCACCTGTACTTTGACTTGCTAATTCTGGTTCCCCCTTCCCAGGAAGGAGCACCAACCCAAGCCACTGGTGCGTGAACACCTAGGAGAGAGCACTATGGAAAGGCAGTGGAGCACTGGCTAGAGGATTAAATTACTGAGGACAACTAAGCATTCAGGCTTGTGGATCTGTTTCCCCCCAGGGAGGCTGCGTGGACTGCAGAGTGGTTATTGAGAAGTAAAAGCCTACAACTACTTGCTCTGCACATTTCAGGGTGAGTAAATTTGCAAACAAAGCACACCCCACATGCTCATTAATAATGTAAACAGTTACCATTTATGCAGTGCCTACCATGTAAAAGGCACTCTGCTAGATGTTTCATATGAATAATTCCTAATCTGATCACAGCAGGTCTGCACAATAGATGTCTCTAAGTGTGTTTTACTGGTGAAAAGACAGGTTTGAGAGCAGGGAAGTCAATAAAAAACTTACTGAGCTTGGATTAACATTCCTTCCCCTTTTAACTCATTAATGCAATGCTTCAAAAAATTCATATACCAAGGAAAAGCACAAAATAATAACTGTGACTACTTTTTAATCTCACCTCCTAGAAATAATCAAAATATTTCTAAAATGTCTTAAAGCCACACACAGAGCGAGTATGTGAAACAGCATAAAACAAAAATAACATAAGCTACTTGCATCTACATCTGCAAGCTTTGCCAAATCTTTTCCTCTTCTTCTTTTTTTTTCTTGGCACCCGTCCTGGGGCTGGGCACTGTCCCTGAGCTTTTTTACTTAAGGCTGGTGATTGACAACTTTGAGCAACAGCTCCACTCTTGGCTTTTGGATGGTTAGCTGGAGATGAAAGTCTCATGGACTTTCCTGCCTTGGCTGTCTTTGAACTGTGATCCTCAGATCTCTTTCAGCCTCCTAAGTAGCTAGGACTATAGGAATGAGCCACCAGTACCTGTCTCCTTTGACACATCTTAAGTTACACTGGCCCTAGGTATTAAAAAAAAACAAACCACGAAGCCAAACACAGTGGTTTAAGGCTGTAGTCCTGGCTACGTGGGAGGTAGAGATCAGGAGATATGGCTTAAGGCCAGCCTGAACATAAAAGTTTGGGAGACTCCATCTCAAACAGAAAATGCAATCAACAGGTAGAGGGGACACCTGCACTGGTCAATGTTCACAGCAACCGGACATGGACAGCTGAAGTGGCCAGCCGTGGGTGGGGCTGGGCATTTAAAAAGTCAGAGACTCCGTCCTTCGTGACAACATGGACGCATCTGGAGGGCACTATGCTAAGCAAAATAACCAGGCAGTGTGTGGGGATGTAAAAATGTCAAATGCCCACAGAGAGTGTAATGTTGTCCACCACGGGCGGGGTGTCGGGGAGGGCTGGGGAAGGGGGGGAGGTCAGGGAGAGGAGGAAGGTGAAGGGATACAAAGTTTCAGTTAGACAGGAGGCGGTATACTGTTTAAAAGTACTGTGCAAAATAAAAAAGTACTGTACATTAGGTCTATAGTTAATAACCCTGTATTGTATTGTATTCTTGAACAGTTGCTAAGAGAAAAATATGCCAGTGAGAGCATAATAGAGGGTTTCCCAAGGTAAAATACTTCACACAGGCGGGATGTTTATTCTCGCACCTTTTAATTTGCATAGTAAGTTGTGCTCATCCTTGTGCTATTTGGGAAGTTAGCTCTTTGTCATCCTTGTGCAGATGTTTTCTCCTGTGTTCCTTAATAGTGTCGTTGGTACAAATGATAGTCATTATTGTGCAGAATCTTAATTATTAGTATTTTTTTTAAAAACAGAGCTATCCACACAACTCACACTGTGGTTTCTCTTCACTTGTGTGGAATTCAATTCAAGTCATGGGGCGTTCTGCCCCATGGAGGGCACGGTGCTAGGTCCATGGGGCAGGTGTCAGTGAGAGACAGACATGAGGTTTAAAAATCTAACAGGGAAGACGCGCGTGCGCACGCGCGCGCGCGCACACACACACACACACACGGACACGATTGGCTCAGTCATCTGGGACCTGGGTTCAGGGTGCCATGCTTCCATTCCCACAGGCAGGAGGGTGCTGGGCGGCTGGGGCCAGCTGCAGGTCTGTGCCAGCTCTTTGTGCAGAATGCTGAGGTCTGCAGTAAGAGCAATGGCGCGTCAGCAAAGCCCCAGTGGGCACCACTTTGCGGTTACGTGCCTGGACAAGGGTTTGGGGACGTCCTCATTGCTATTGTGGTCGGTGGTGTCCAGCGCCATGGATGCACAGACTGATGGACACAGGGAGGTGTGCCGGGGCCGTTCGCCCGAGGGGACGGAGGAGGAGGTAAGCAGACGGCACGGGATCTCGGTGCTGCTCCTTCCTGCTCATCCTGTGGATACTTTTTGTTTTCATCCAGACTTGGGAGCTGGGAAGCAGACACTTGTGTTTCCTTATGCGTAGCTCTGTGGATGAGGTCAAGTACTCCAGATGTGGTCCATATGTGATGCTCTTTCTTGCGTGTTCCCAGTCTTATGTGAACTTGCACTCTGAACCCGTGTGTGTAAAGGAACCCGTGCACTGTGCTTCTCTTGGCCTGGTTTTCGTACTCTCTCAAGTCCTCGGCACGTGTGCCCCTCAGAGCACACACGGCACCAGTGTAAGAACTGAGCACTGTAGTCAGCAGAGGACAAATTATATTGTTATGCTTGGCCTAGGCTTAGGAAGCGAGAACCTCAACAAAAACACTCGCCCTTTACACACGTGGTTGGTGACAGGTGCTGTTTTGGCTCAGTTGAGCATCTGACTTCCAGACTGATATTGCTCCTGCAAGGAAGCCAGTGGACCGCTGGTCAACACGGATGGCTCTTTCCTTGTCCACGAGAGGCCCCGCCAGCAGAGGGTGAGCACCGGACTGCAGAACAACAAAGTGCGAGTCACACCACGGACGGGTGAACAGGAAATCTTTACTTTGTGTCTGTTTTCCAGCATTCATTCTCAGCTGCCCCGTGGCCCTGGCAGATGAAGCTGGAATGATGGATGGGAAGGGACAGAAAACTGCGAAGAAACAAGTCATCGGAGTAAACACGACCATCAC